CCCCCGGAAGAGAGCCGAGAGCCGGCCGCGGGCCCGCCCTCCCGCCTCTACCCCCCCCCGCGCACCTTTCTCCCCCCTCTTCTTGCGGGTGCGATCGATGTGGTCTTTGAGCTGGATGCGGACCTGCCGCTCCGTGGGCTGGTCCCGGATGAAGGGGAACTTGAGGAGCTGCTCCGTCGGGGGGCGGCTGGTGTAGGCCTTGACCAGGCAGCTGTCGATGAAGTCAATGAACTTCTTGGACCTGCAGGGGAGGCAGCCGCAGGGGGGTTTGTTCGGGCACAGGCATCTCCCCTCCTCCCCTGCTTCTGTGCCCCGCCCCTCCCCTCCCCCTCCCCACATCTGGCTCTTTTGCTGGGTGTGTGTGTGTGTCACAGGTGCTGGGGAAGCCTGGAGAGGCGGCTCCTGGGTGAGCGGGGGCGGAGCTCACGTTCAGAAGGGACCAGAGGTCCAGCTGCCAGCCTCTCTGGTTAAAAGGGCAGCAGCTTTCAGACGGCGGATCTTGGATTATGTGTGTCCAAAAGCCATTCCCTTCTGGGAATCAGTCATTTCAAAAATTACATCATTGATTCATATAGATCTAGACATCACACCAGAAGACCTCTTATTAAACACCTGGGGAACCACAGTTAAATCTTATTCCATCAAGGAGCAAGTATCTCTTTTGCTATATGCTGCCAGAAACACAATTGCATTGAGTTGGAAATCTCCAAAATCTCCTACTCTCACACAACGGCAGCAGAAGATCTGGAACCTGCGTGTGATGGCTAAAATTACAGATAATTTAACAAGGATAGCCAGTCCTTTTAGTCACTCCCTGTCCCCCACTATTCGGATCCCCAGACTCGGTTATCTCACATCGCAAGAGGAAACTCCACGAATGGTTGTTGACCTATGTTTCTGATTCAATTTGGACTATGACAGTGTTAGGATTTACTATCATAATTAAATCGTTAAACAGAACTGATACTTTCAAACTTTGTTTTAGTATATGACAACGAATTAATGGTTGTTAACAGCAGGTTGAGTTAATACCGGAACTACTAGCAGTTTGAAACTGTTTGGAAATGTTATGAATTGTATGTATGTACTGAAGTTTGTTAAAGACCCATAAAATATTAATGATAAAAAAAAGAACAGGTCTTAGCGGAGGCCACTCCAGCTCATTCGCGAAAGGCAACAGCCCTCCCCAGGGGGCCGGCACAGTGGAACCCCACCCCCCCCCGGGTCTGGGACTGAAGGCTTCTCCAGCACTTGGATGTGAAGCGGACGGAGCCATCAGAGTGGGGCGAGGCCAAGCCGCAGGAGGGGTGCCCAGCTGTGCCCCAGCCCCCCCTCTCCCCCTCCTCAGGAGGGAGCCACTGCTGCTCAGCCTTCATGGGACAGTCAGGGTGGGACTTGCGAGAACGTGCACCCGGGGGGGGGCTGGCGGCGGCAGCCCACATACCACTTCTTGGATTTCAGCTTGGGCGGAGGGTTGCGAGGGATGAGGAAGAGCGCCCGCATGGGGTGCATGTCACACAGGGCTGGAGGGAGGGGGAGAGAGAGAGAGAGAGAGAGAGAGAAATAAGAGCACTTCTCCCAGGAAGGAAGGGAACCATCCCCACAATCGGCCAAGGCCCACGTTGCTGGGAAAGACTGAGCCCTGGACCCCTTCCCCGGGACGCCCCCATCCCCCTGCTCCTGGCCTTGGCCCCAGGAGCGCCCTCCCCTTTCCAGAGCACCCGGGAGTCCTGGCTCAGCTCCTTCCGGACACCCTCAGCGCCAGCCTGCCACCCCACCCAGCCACCCCCTTCCCGCCCCTCTCCCCGCAGGGCTTTCCATGCAGACACTCACGAGGCGCTCCCTCGGCCATCTCAATGGCGGTGATCCCCAGGGACCAGATGTCGCTCTGTGGAGAGGAAGCGCAGGCAGGTGGGCACAAAGGCACAGCCTCCCCCTTCTGCTTCCAGCACTTGCCGGTGGGCCCCCCCCCCCATACCGTTCCATTGTCTTAACGGTAAGCAGAAACCCATCCGGCACTCCTGCCCCACTGAGCACACGGAGGAGGAGGAGGAGGAGGGTCTCTCTACACCCGTCACCCAGCCAGCCTTTGGGGGCAGGGGAGGGAAGCAGCCCCCACTGGGGGAGAGACGTACCCTGTAGTCGTATGTGGCGTCGGGGTTCTCGTCACAAGCGATCACCTCTGGGGCCATCCAATAAGGGGTGCCGATGAAGGTGTTCCGACGGCCCACTGTGCGGTCCAGTTGGGCGCTCACCCCAAAGTCAACTGAGGAAGAGGCGAGACGGGGTGTGCATGCGCGCCTGTGTGTGTGTGTGTTTGCCCTTGCACACAAATCCCCTGGACGCACAGTCTACGTCACTTCTGACCGCCCCCCCCTGCCCCCGAGGAACAAAGGGCTCCCCCACCGGGTTTTGAAGTATGGCTGCTGTGGGGCGGGGCCCAGCCTTTCTCTTACCCAGCTTCACTTCGGCATTCTCGGTGAGGAGGACGTTCTGGCCCTTGATGTCTCGGTGGATCACCTTGTGTGCGTGGAGGTGGGCCAGGCCCTGGGAAGAGGAGGGAGACACCACTGGATGCCAAGGTCGGGACAAGATGGCATAAACCAAAAAGGCTGAGAAAACACACACACACACACACACACAAAACCCAGGAAAAAGTTGCACAATGCGATAGATAGATGAAACTACACAAAACATAACACCACTAATTTAATATGTAAAGAAATCAAAAGCAGGAAAACAAACGGGTGCACACACAATATAAAGATCACACACAATGCCAAATAAAACAAAACAGAATGCCAAATGCGTTTTTGGCACAAAGCCTTCACGAGTGGCTTATAACGCACACTGTGAAGAACGTAACAAACCACGAGAACCAGCAAGATAACCAACTCAAATGCTGGAAGCGTACTACGAGCTCCTTATACAAAACCAGCCTCCCCTCCATTCCTACACGTCTGGGTCTCTCTGGTCCAGCTAACAGGATCAACACACATGGGGTGAGTCTCACGCAGCTACTACCAAGTAGCTCAGGCAGCCCTTCCCCCCCCCGCCGCCGCAACCCCAGCCCATCAGATGGCCGGTCCCCCTTCTGCTTCTGCCTTCACCCCCGCCCCGGGCCTCTTGCACTCCCCCGGGCGGCCGCAGCCGCTCTGCCCGTCGTACCCTGAGGATCTCCCGGCAGATGTAGGCGATGCAGTCCTCCTTCAGAGCGTTGCCCTTGGTGTTCTTCACCAGGTCGGTCACGGAGCCGGCCCCACAAAACTCCATCACGAGCTGGGGGCAGAGGGAGAGAGGGGAAGGCTGGAGAAATGGAGACGCCAAACAGAAAGGCAGCGGAATGCTCCTTGCCACGCAGGGCCCGGACCACCACCCCACGGCTGACCTTGACGAGCCTCCCAGCGCCCCTTTTGCACGAGGCAGGGGGCCCTCCTGGCCACCCCCGAGCAGCAGCCCGGCAGGCAGGCAGACTTGGGGGAGCTGGCCGGGGCAAGGCCCCCTCTGCTTTGCTCACCCAGAGCTGGTCGTCATTCCCAGGGGGGCTCTTCTTAACGAAGGCCCCGTAGTAGGTGGCGATGTTTCGATGGTGCGAATACTTCTTCAGCATATTTATCTCTTGCTTGATCTCTTCCTCTTCATCCTTTTTTGGGGGAGGGGGGCAGAGGGAGGGAGAAGTGCCAGAGACGCTTTAGGCTGGTCCTGCACTGGGCAAAGGGTTGGACTAGGTCGTCTGTAGGGGCCCTTCCAGCTCAAGGATTCTATGGTTCTGTGTTTCGGCCCATCGGTGCCCCTGCATCCCGCTGAGTACGGTAGCGAGCCCAGGCCTGCAGCCTTGGACGGCCGCCCCCCACCGGAAACCTACTGCCGCTGCGGATGCGCCCCATGATGCTGCCGGGCCTCTCTCTTTCTCTCTCTCTCCAGCCTTCAGTGCCACTCGACCATGGCATGCCTCTCCTCACCAGGGACTGTGGGCTCTGAGTGACGGAACCGGGACTGCTCCCACATCTGACCCACGGATCTCCGGCTCTTGAAAGCTCATCATCCCCCCCCAAAAAAGTCTGGCTGGTCTCCCAGGTGCTGCTGGACTCGAATCCGGCTCTTCTACTGCAGACTGACATGGCTGCCCTCTGAGTGCCGCTCCGGAGACTGAAGGGCTCCCCCCCCCCCACACCCGTCGCGCTCTCTCACTAACACACACACACACTGCTCAGGCCATACCTCAGTGACGTCCATGACTTTGATAGCAGCCAACTGCCCGGTCTTGACATGGCGGCCCTGGGGGGAAAGAGGAGGAGGAGGACGTGGCATTCACACAGCCAGCAAGGCCCTCGCGCCTGGCCCCGCCTGCCCCCGCCGTGCCACAGACAGAGCCCAGCCAGACTTGTTCTAGGACTGCACGGAGGCCCCAGCGTCCCACCCCCCCCCCCCGCGCTCAGGCCCAAGAGGCGGAAGAGCCACTGAAAGGACTCCAGGCAGCCTCTCCAAGGCCAGGCAGCGCCCGGCTCCGGCCACACCATTCCCGGGGCTGCCACATTCCTGGTGTGGTGGTTAAGTGCGCGGACTCTCATCTGGGAGAAGCGGGCTTGAGTCCCACTTGCACCTGCTCGAGGACCTTGGGCAAGCCGTAGCTCTGACAACAGCTGTCCTTGAAAAAGAGCAGTTTCTGCCAGAGCTCTCTCAGCCCCACCCACCTCACAGGGTGTCTGTTGTGGGGAGGGGAAGGGAAAGGAGTTTGTGAGCCGCTCTGAGACTCCCGAGTGAAGGGCGGGGTATAAATCCAATCTCTTTTCTTCTTCTGCTCCATTCCCCTGGGTCCACAACGGCCTCTGCCCCTCTCCCCCTTTCAAGGGCTGCCTCCTCCCACCTAGTGGTACGGCCTGTCCAGCTTTTTTGCCAGTCCATGGAATGAGCAAAACAAAATGTCCAGGACACTGTTCTTATAAAGGGGTTGGAACGGCCATGGAATGAAAGGCCCTTTTATGAAGGAGCCGAGCTGTCGTTCAGTGCAGCATCCTCTTGCTGGATCATCTTCTACCTTTCCAACCTGCTGTCGGCACCGTTTGTGGGACGCCGTGTGCCTTGGGGCTCAGGCAGTCTTGTGTTTGCTCTGCTCTCTCATGTTGTGGTCCTCACCAATGTTCCCTCTAAGCTGTGGAGTCTTGTGAGCAAAAATTATACTTTGTGAGCTACTGGCATAAAAGTCGTGAGCAAGCGATTTGGCTACTGCATAAATCAGTTTGCTCTGGAGCCATCCTCCCTGAGCTGAGACAAAAATCTGTGAGCTGGAGGCGAAAAAACTGTGAGCTAACTCACAGTAACTCAGCTTAGAGGGAACCCTGGTCCTCACCCCCCAAGCGCTGCTCACTCTCTGCTGCCGGATGGTGGGGGGCCCGGGGGGGGGGGGGGGGCTGGTATTCTGTCATCTGCCTTCAGTCTCATAGAAAAAGGCAGGCTGGGAAAAAAGCCAGCAAATCAATCATACTTTTGGTGCCACTAAGAGATTGGGGGGGCAGCTTTTCAGGTTCCTCGGCAGCCGTGCTCCGTCACCCCACTCAGCCAAGCGGGAGGCTGCAATCTGACGGGATCAGTCCGAGAGTACCACGGCCTGAGACACGGACAGAGAAACCTGGGCCCAATTGAAGGTTGACCTTTATGCGGATGACCATTAGGGAGGGTACAGCTCTTCTCTGGGGACCCCTCTCCTCCAGTTTTTGCATTATCCCTACGACCGTGCTCAGAGCCCAGCAGAGGGAGCCAGAGGCCCGTCCAAGCTGGCCGATTGCCCCGGCCAAGGCAAGGCCAGGGAGGAAGTTCAGCCTCTCCCCACCTCGCTCCGCTCCCCCCCCCCCACCAGGAGGGGCAACGGGTATGCTACAGCCCAATCGCTCGCTCACAACTTTAATGCCAGGAGAGCTCACAAAGTAGAGTTTTTGCTCACAAGACTGCACAGCTATGAGGGGGAGTGGGAGTTGGGGTGCCGGGATTCCAGTAAGCAGCAGGAGCCTTTGGGGAGCTGCCTGCTGTCGTGACTGCAGGGCTGGACTCAGATGGGGGGAGGGCTGGGGGGGCAAGCCAAGCTCAGCGGGCGACCCTGTGCTCCTCAGGCACACTCCCAGCCCAGCCTACCTCACAGGGTGGTTGTGAGAATGGACTGGAGGAGAGGGGGACGATGTAGGCCACTTTGATTCCCCACTGGGGAGAAAGGCGGGGCAGAGCCCCACCCCGGGCCCCCTCCTCCGTGTCTCACTGCCCCTGGGCTGAGAGGGGCTGATCCGCCTCCGCTCTCCCCAGCTAGGCCCACGGCTGGCCAGCCAAGGGGGAGCGTGGGGGGCCCAAGTGCCTCCCCCAGCCAGGGCTTGCTTGTCTCTCTGCTTCAGCCCTCCCCAGGGGCAGCCTCCCTGCCTGCCCTCCAGCATTCGCCTCCCCACCCCGGGGAGGGCCCTTCGAGCGCTGCTGGAAAGGGGGGGGGAGACCGGCAGAGCGCCACTCTGCATTTGCATAGCAAGCCCCCTGTTGTTGCCCTCAGCCCTGCGCTGGCATTGTCTGCGATGCCACACAGCCTGGCGTGGGTAGCCGTTGCCTGGCAACAGCCTCCCTCTTCCTTTCAAGCAAGTACTCTTGATGAAAAAGCCTCCCCCCCCCACAAGAACGATCTGGAACACCTCAGCTCTGCAGCCTCCCCTGCAAGGAAGCTGGCTGGGGGGGAGGGAGGCGAAGGCCATTTGGAGACCCTCCCCCCGTGGCGGATTCAGCCCCCTCCCCTCCTCTCCCACAGAAAGGCCACGGCTCAGACACCCCAACTCCCACCACACACCCCACCGGGGAAAATGCGCTTGCCTGGATTCTCCCTGGCGGAGGCCGCCCCTCCCAGGCCCCACAGCCAGAGTCACCAGTGGGGCACAGCCATCAGCTAAAAGGGAGGTGGGCACACACACACCCGCCCCCCACAGTCCCAGGAGAGCGTCCGGGCTGGGGCTGGGCCTTCCCCGGGAGGAGGGCGGTCAGCCCAAAGGTCTTTTAGGACCAGGAGGAAGAGAGTCCTTGCTTTGGAGCCCTCCCCCCCCCCCCCGGGTGCCCCCCCCCCAAGAGAAGGGAAGGAAGCTGGCACTGGGGGGGGGGGAAGGCTGGGTGAGCTTTTGCCCACCTTGAAGCTGAGAGGAGTAAAGAGTTTGGACGTTTAAAAAAAAGACCCAGTTTCAGAAAGGGACTGGAACGGATAGAGACCAGCAGACACAGACACAGACACAGACACAGACACAGACACACACACACACACACACAGAATAGGCCTCCGTTCCCATGGGAACCGCTGCAGCGAGGGGCACCCCTGCTCCCCCGTGGGGCGTGGCTTAGGCCTGCTTGCGTGGTGCGCTCCGCCCTGCCCGCCCCTTGCAGCGGGGCACCTGCCGCCCAAGGGGCACGAGATGGGTCCGGTCGGGTCCACCGAGGGGCAGGGGGTGCAGGCTGGGAAAGGCCGGCCAGGAGGAGAGGGCCAAGCCAGGACTCTGTGGGCAGTGCGGAAGGTCGGAAGGGGCTGGAGAGGAAAGTGAGGGGGTGTATCGCGGGCATCCCTGCCCTGGCCCAGCAATGCCACCCTCTGGCCCGGGCTGCTTTGCCACCATCACTGGCTGGACCACGATTCCTCCCCCCCCCAACACCCCCTCCTTCCCCAGGCTCTCAGCTTCCAGCAGCAGCCGTGGAGAACAGCTGTGGCAGGGCCTCTGGGCAAGGTGGAGCCCCAAGAGCAGGGCTGGGGGGGGGGAGGGAGGGAGCCAGGGGCCAAGGCTGGCTTCCAGCCTTTCTGGCCCCCTCCCTGAAGCTGGTGTGCGCACACACCAAGCAGCTCTTCCAGCAACTGAGCACCAGAGAAGAGGAGAGGAGATTGGATCTATGCCCCGTGGCCCTTCGCTCCCCAAAGGGAGTCTCAGAGCAGCTGACAAACTCCCTTCCCTTCCCCTCCCCACAGCAGACAGACACCCTGTGAGGCAGGTGGGGCTGAGAGAGCTCTTGACAGAAACGGCTCTTTTCCAAGGACAGCTCTTGTCAGAACGATGGTGTGAGGACCCCTTCTCAGGTAAAGGGAACCTCAGGAGCCCAAACCTTTCCTGACAGGTAAGAAAGAATGGCACCAATAGCAGGGTTTAAAAATGAAATACGAGGAAAGATTTATTCTTAACGAAAGGCAGGGAAATGGGAAAAGGTTTTATAATAGCAAACAGTTGGCAACGAACAAATGAAGTTATACAACCAATAAACTAGGGTTCCCCTGATTAGGCTCTGAATACCAAATAGCCCTTGTGTGAGTGGATGTCTCTTGTTTAACCTGGGTCTGACCTTTTACTCTGACACAACCCTTCAATGGAGTCTGCTCTGCCCCTCTCTCTGGGACATCCTGCCACTGTCTCCCAGACTGAGTGTTTTCTCTCTGAAGGCAGCCACTCAAAAGGCCCCCTCCTCCATTAGATTCACTCTCTCCCCCAAAAAGAACCCCTCCAACCACCCTTCCAACTGTCAGCTCTCCTTCCCCCCCAGCCCCCTCATGGATGCTTCCGTTGTCCTGGAGGCGACTCACCAATCAGAGTGAGCCTCTGCTACTACCTCCCCTCAGAGTGGTTTTTCATAGTTCATCACAGATGGCTTGCCCAAGGTCCATCCAGCCAGGTGCAGGTGGAGGAGGAGTGGGGAATCCAACCCGGCTCTCCCAGATCACACTCCATGCGCACTTCACCACCACACCAGACTGGCTCTCATCATGAAGCCTCTCCTGCCTCCCAAAGGCCAGCCGGAATGCACCTGGGATGCTTCCCTGGACATCCAGGAGCCCCCACGGTTTGGCTCCGGGGCTCTCAGGACGGAACGTAAGGAGGTCTCTCGCCTCCAGGCTCACCCCCTGGTCCACTTGGGCCAGCCTGGTCTCCTCCAAAGGGCAGAGGCCCTCCAGGCCACCCCCGGGGTCCTGGAGCCAGGGCTTAACCCGGGAGCTTCTGGGCGCAGGGCCTGGGCTTTTCCACCAGCGGCGAGGAGATCCTCACGGAGGAGAGGTCCGTGGGTGGCCACTGGCCATGGTGACGAAAGGGAACCTCCACATCCAGAGAGGCAGTCAGCCTCTGAGTCCCAGAGCCAGGAGGCGGCCTTGGGGGAAGGCCTCGGCCTCTGTCTCTTGCCTGCTTGGTCCTCCAGGGCAAGGGGTGGGAGGCTGTGAGAGACAGGAGGCTGGCCTAGAGGGACCCGCACTGGCCTGATCCAGCAGGGCTCTCCTGAGGTTCCCCAGCCAG